AACACAGATACCGTGGTGATGGTATCTAACACAGATACCGTGGTGATGGTAGGACGGTATCTAACACAGATACCGTGGTGATGGTATCTAACACAGATACCGTGGTGATGGTATCTAACACAGATACCGTGGTGATGGTATCCAACACAGATACCGTGGTGATGGTAGAACGGTATCTAACACAGATACCGTGGTGTTGGTATCTAACACAGATACCGTAGTGATGGTATCTAACACAGATACCGTGGTGATGGTCTCTAACACAGATACCGTGGTAATGGTAGGACGATATCTAACACAGATACCGTAGTGATGGTATCTAACACAGATACCGTGGTGATGGTATCTAACACAGATACCGTGGTGATGGTATCTAACACAGATACCGTGGTGATGGTATCTAACACAGATACCGGGGTGATGGTAGGACGGTATATAACACAGATACCGTGGTGATGGTATCTAACACAGATACCGTGGTGATGGTATCTAACACAGATACCGTGGTGATGGTATCCAACACAGATACCGTGGTGATGGTATCTAACACAGATACCGTGGTAATGGTAGGACGATATCTAACACAAATACCGTGGTGATGGTATCTAAAACAGATACCGTGGCGATGGTATCTAACACAGATACCGTGGTGATGGTCTCTAACACAGATACCGTGGTGTTGGTATCTAACACAGATACCGTGGTGATGGTAGGACGATATCTAACACAAATACCGTGGTGATGGTATCTAACACAGATACCGTGGCGATGGTATCTAACACAGATACCGTGGTGTTGGTATCTAACACAGATACCGTGGTAATGGTAGGACGATATCTAACACAAATACCGTGGTGATGGTATCTAACACAGATACCGTGGTGTTGGTATCTAACACAGATACCGTGGTGATGGTAGGACGATATCTAACACAGATACCGTGGCGATGGTCTCTAACACAGATACCGTGGTGTTGGTATCTAACACAGATACCGTGGTGATGGCATCTAACACAGATACCGTGGTGATGGTAGGACGATATCTAACACAGATACCGTGGCGATGGTCTCTAACACAGATACCGTGGTGTTGGTATCTAACACAGATACCGTGGTGATGGTATATTTAATGGGTTGACTTTAGGATGTGTTATTTAGATGGATATTCCTGGAGTCTTCTACATTTAGAGGCGAAGAGAAACTTACGTAATACAATTACTTATTATCAGACGTTACGTCAATACACTCTGTATCCCTTACGTATCACAGTTTAACACACGACTGAAAAGATAAAAAAAAAAAAAAAAACTGTAGTCGAGTTTCGGCAATAAGATTGTCATAGATATTTGAGGAAAATCGAATTATCATTCTAGGTCAGTTGATGCCGACATCAGGAATGAAAGAACACACTAACAGCCCGTCAGCGTTCTGTTTGTTAATGATCGTTTGTAATATATATGGTAACGTTTGGTAAATATAAATATATGATATCTCTTTTATCATTATGATTTTTCTCTGTATTGTCGATCGGTAAGAATTCTTAAAATACAAAATATCATTTTCCCTTTACAATGTGAATAGTTCTTTTTGTAACAACGTTGGATTTTTTTCCTACATAAAAAAACTCTTCCAGCGTTCATCCCGTTAGAGATATAGACAGATTAGAACTAAAACCTGATCAGAGAGTGAAATACACCGTCTTTCACTTATCGATAACCAGTTTTAGACTGACACCCAACAGAATGGCAAATACTACAGGATAGGTACGAGATTTCGTAGAAAAGCGACGCCAGCCGCCCCTTACATTTTGACATCATACCAGATGGTGATGAATCCATGTAGTCCCAACAGTAAATACTTTATATATTATTCGATATTTGTGTGGCTTTAAGTGGGAAAAGCTAGCTTTAAAGAGGAAGAATAGTCGATATTTTTATGACCATCGTGTAAATGAGGTTTTAGATTGATTGTTCCTCCGCACACGACTTTTACACACACATACACCACCACCACACATACACACCACCACACATACACATACAAACGCACCACCACACATACACACCACCACACACACATACGTACACATACCACCACCACACACACATACACACACATACACACCACACAAATACACATAAACATCGCCACTCATACACATACACACAACCACACATACACATACACACCACCACACACACACGTACACACCACACACATACACATACACACCACCACACATACACATACACACCACCACACATACACATGCACACCACCATACACACACATACACACCACCACACACATAAACACATACACACCATCACACACACCTACACCCCACCACACATACACATACATACCAACACACATACACATACACACCACCACACACATAAATACTACACACCACCACACGTACACCACCACACACACCAGATTAGACAGACAGACAGACAGACAGACAGACAGACAGACAGACAGACAGACAGACAGACAGACAGACAGACAGACAGACAGACAGACAGACAGACAGACAGACAGACAGACAGACAGACAGACAGACAGACAGACAGACAGACAGACAGACAGACAGACAGACAGACAGACAGACAGACAGACAGATAGATAGATAGAGAGAGAGACACACACACACAGATAGATATATAGTTACACACACACAAACAGAGAGAGAGAGAGAGAGAGAGAGAGAGAGAGAGAGAGAGAGAGAGAGAGAGAGAGAGAGAGAGAGAGAGAGAGAGAGAGAGAGAGAGAGAGAGAGAGAGAGAGAGAGAGAGAGAGAGAGCCGTCCCGTGTTACGTGTTACAGTGATAATTAAAAATATACTGCAAAAACCCTCGTTTCATTACATCTGAACATTGTATAGAAATAACACAAAATTCACCATTCAGGTACTCAGGTATGTTATTGTAGAGATCTACAAACTACAGGTACCCCTCCGTCAGCTTGTTCTTGTTCCATCACTACTGATAACTAGACACAAAGTAACTTGCGTTTTATACATTATACAAAATGTTAAACCACGAGAGATTAATTCCCATTCATTCATGGGAATATGAATTTCAACATTAATGGAGTCCGTTGAAAACTATGCCAGTGGGTTAAGCATGTTGCTTTCGATTCACTTTCAGAGTGGGTTAAATGTATTCAGTTTATCATTCTTAAAAGAATTAGCAGCTTGGAATCCAAATTGAAAACAAAACACAGGTCAATGAGTCCAATGTGAAATCAACACTTGAAGATTTACATGACAGATGTACCATGATGCTTGCAGATCAAGCAAGCGATTATCATAAACATGAACTGCATGCAGGACTGCTTGTTAACAAAGGTAATCCCACATGTACGTGATACAATATTCCCGAGGAAGATATTTTCATAATCATTATTTAGTATTACAATTATTTCAACGTCCTATTAATGATAAAGATCCGAACTTACACATAATTGCTAAAAACTTCACAGGAAGTTTTGTGGTAAGATCTTCCACCTGGTTATTGGGCTACATATAGGAACTAACTCTCTTCTGGTTGACTTGATTTTGTTTTCATGTGTGACTAAATATAACCGGGTTTTTAAAACAGGTTACACAAACCAAAAGAAGGCCTTCGCTTTCAGATATATTGTTGACGACTTGTTTAAAAAAATATTGACAATGTCCATCGTGTATACCTACCAGAATTGGAAATCAACAAGACCACAGATGATTTCTACATCAACCCATTATCTCGAATCAACGATCAACGAAACCAGCATTGACCACTTTCCGCCAAGCTGCAATGATTCCAATTTTCCTATTGTGAACTTTCCATTTCTGGATAACAACATCCCTGCATCTCCAACCTTTGGTATTTACATGTCGCAGTTGTTACGAATTCCAATGGTCTGGTCTCAATAAAACGATTTTCGTGCAAGATGTCGCAAAGTGACAAACGGAATATGTTTAATGATCGTCAGAGGGATCTCATTGAGAAATCTATTTTCTTTACGTGATATGATGCTGGGCGTCTTTAGCTTGTTTGCTGTTGCCATTCGGATTCAAGCGATCCAAAACTAATGAACCCTATTTACATGCAGGCCAAGGTCCTGTGTTCCCCGGTGACAGAGAAAGGGGTCATGTGAAGTTAAAACGAGTGCATTCTACTGCATATAAATGTATTTTCTTGATAGTGCAATCACAACCTTGATTGTGTTTAAAACAGGTCTTAACTAATGACATTCTGGTTTGATCTGTATCATTAGTGATTCTTGAGCTAGTGTGCGTGTCTGAACGTATTACTGGGAAAACGACCTTGAGATCTGTGTTAAACGACAGCTACCAATCTGTTTATGAACGACAAGATTGCATGCACACACAATCGTAATGACACATACGTAACAAGATAACTGATGTATTATTGTTTATGGGTTATGAGTTTTACTGTAACAACAACAACGATCAAAATTATTGTGCAGCAAGCCTTCTCCAGTGTAAATGATTTTTTGCTGTATAAACCGAGTTTATAATATCATTTATAGGAGTAGAGAACGTCCTTTATCATCTGTAACCTTGTTACGAAACACATATCTGAAGTGTTACATTGTTGATAAATGCTCGAACATAAACCTAAGATGAATAACACCTTTTAATACATAATCAAGGTTGAACACAGCAAAACAATGACTAAAACTACATCACAGCAGTAATCTGAAGAAATATCGAATGCTTAATGGGAAGATACATTGGCTCCATGATTAAATCATCTTCCTAATTGTCATATGTCTGATTATTTTAGAAGAACTTCAATCATGCCACTATCAAATGAAGAATTTCAAACAACCCACGTGGTCGCTGACATTCGTGGTCAGTCTGACCTTTGTAGTCACTGACTTTCCTACATAATATCTGGTATATTTATCATGGAATATTTTGTCTGTGAAATATGAAGATAACCGAGTCTGTTAGAAAAATACAAAGATGACTTGTTAAATGCTTACCTCCAAAGTTTGGACGAAGTCTGATGTCATAACCTTCCAGCATGTCTTCTATTGTAGCCGATGTGTTAGACAGAGGGACAGTATCAGACGCCCTGAAAGTAGTATAATAGCCGATGTGTTAGACAGAGGGACAGTATCAGACGCCCTGAAAGTAGTATAATGACTTCATAACACAACACATTTCCTGTTGTAAAGTGGTATTGCAACTGATTCCAGTGTACTTGATAACAACAAAGGTTATCATTTTATTTTTGTTGTTATCAAGTATATCAGAAGAATGCGACGTATATAATTAAGTATATCATTCCCTGTATATGTGCCATCTTATACATCGCTTATCAATATTGTTCACTGAGGATACTCGAAACCGGTTTGTATTTAGGAAACGGGTGTAAAAACATCAAGAAAATATCATTATGTCAGCATAATCATAAACCAAACTCAAATTCCATAGACCCAGGGCACAATATGGACAAAAGAAAGATTTACACGGAGTTTCCTGAAAAACGTATGAGGAGAATAAGAACATGAGATCCGGAAGAGTAAGCGTCTTCTGTTTCATCGAGGACACCAAACATGTAAATATTGGTCCATTTAAGTAAGCAAAGTCACAATCTCGAATGAAGCATGTCCAGCTTCATTCACACAAAGAAATAAAATATTTTACCATGTTGGTGTTTTTTTTATGTTTTCTTAATTAGGTAACTATGGCAACCATTAAACTTCCCATAAAGTTACATCAACCTGCATCTTTAAAACCCCAGTGATACGAGTTTGTCCGTCAGTTGACGTCAGTTGTAAGGTGGGACCTAAAATTGTTAGTTTTGTTTTATTGGAAATTCATTATATAAATCGTGTTCATGGATGACTTTATCCTAGAAAGAATACAGTTAGGCATGTTACAAAGATAGGTCTTTTGACACAGCCTGAATCGGTGTAACTCACTTAAGAAAAAGGATGTGTGATGATCCCTCATTTGCCTCAATTCATGTAACTCACTCAGATAAAAGCATGTGTGATGACAGCTCATTTGCCTCAATTCATGTAACTCACTCAGATAAAAGCATGTGTGATGACAGCTCAGTTGCCTCAATTCATGTATTTTCATGTAACTCACTCAGATAAAAGCATGTGTGATGACAGCTCATTTGCCTCAATTCATGTAACTCACTCAGATAAAAGCATGTGTGATGACAGCTCATTTGCCTCAATTCATGTAACTCAGATAAAAGCATGCGTGATGACAGCTCATTTGCCTCAATTAATGTAACTCACTCAGATAAAAGCATGTGTGATGACAGCTCATTTGCCTCAATTCATGTATTTTCATGTAACTCACTCAGATAAAAGCATGTGTGATGACAGCTCATTTGCCTCAATTAATGTAACTCACTCAGATAAAAGCATGTGTGATGACAGCTCATTTGCCTCAATTAATGTAACTCACTCAGATAAAAGCATGTGTGATGACAGCTCATTTTACCTCAATTCATGTATTTTCATGTAACTCACTCAGATAAAAGCATGTGTGATGACAGCTCATTTGCCTCAATTAATGTAACTCACTCAGATAAAAGCATGTGTGATGACAGCTCATTTGCCTCAATTCATGTAACTCACTCAGATAAAAGCATACGTGATGACAGCTCATTTGCCTCAATTCATGTATTTCACTCAGATAAAAGCATGCGTGATGACAGCTCATTTGCCTCAATTCATGTAACTCACTCAGATAAAAGCATGTGTGATGACAGCTCATTTGCCTCAATTCATGTAACTCACTCAGATAAAAGCATGCGTGATGACAGCTCATTTGCCTCAATTCATGTATTTTCATGTAACTCACTCAGATAAAAGCATGTGTGATGACAGCTCATTTGCCTCAATTAATGTAACTCACTCAGATAAAAGCATGTGTGATGACAGCTCATTTGCCTCAATTCATGTATTTTCATGTAACTCACTCAGATAAAAGCATGCGTGATGACAGCTCATTTGCCTCAATTCATGTAACTCACTCAGATAAAAGCATGTGTGATGACAGCTCATTTGCCTCAATTCATGTAACTCACTCAGATAAAAGCATGCGTGATGACAGCTCATTTGCCTCAATTCATGTAACTCACTCAGATAAAAGCATGCGTGATGACAGCTCATTTGCCTCAATTCATGTAACTCACTCAGATAAAAGCATGCGTGATGACAGCTCATTTGCCTTAATTAATGGAACTCACTTAAATAAAAGAATCTACTTCTAAATGGTTCACACACCTTACATATTTGCATTTGTAATCACCGGACGTGGCTTTGTTTAAAGAGAAGTAAGATATTTTGTGAGTGTGAAATATCTCTAACGACATTACACAGAAGTAAAATTATTCAAAATATACATTATTATTCGAATCATAGGAAAAACGCGAATCATGACAAAATATCAGGTTATTGTTCGTAAAATGTGGTCCATTTAATGAGCTTCATATTGCATAATAAAATTTTTCATTATATACATATACTTATGATCGGAAAAAAAGATGGAAAATTATTAGATTGAAATTCAATGGAAAGCTACTTAATAGTGAAATAAGATTGTTCAGGGATAAACATCAATAAAAGGCCAAAAAACGTTTGCTACATATCAGACATATAAAGTCTAGTAATGTTGGCATTTAATATATCCCCAGAAATCGATGGAATATTACGTACCATTAGGGATGAAATTTCCATCTGTCTACAAACTAAATAGCACTGCACAATGGCCATGAGTAAACAATGATTACTGCCTCGACTATCAGACGTACCACAACACATATATATGCTGTAAATAGAAAGGCTTCAAGGACAATGCATACTAACGACAAAAATAGTATGTTTACTCTCAACTTTATGCCTTTATCAACCCATTGCAGTTAAAATGACATTTTCTGTTAAACTCCAGCTTTTCTGTCTCGCATTGATGTTTTATTTCCATCTAAGTCGTTATCATGGTTACCAGAATCAGGATTTACCTCTACCAGGAAATTTCCTTTGTATGTTTGTAATATGTATGTTTTTTTTTTATCAACATGATTTAGTTTAAAGTCAAATTTTTGTGTGACTTTCACTTTTTGTGCAGGTCTTATAACAATATGAATCATGAAGCCGTTACAGATGTACCTGTACTGTGAATCAGTTTAGATCAGTTTGTGTCTAATCTACTATGTATTTTTACTTAAAATATCCCCATGTTAGTCATTGTTGTTTCTCTTAAGTACATATGGTGCATCTCTGATCAAACAGGTGGACACAGCTAATATCAATCTCCTCCAGCGTACATTGTGGCACCCTAATATCAATCTTCTCCAGCGTACATTGTGGCACCCTAATATCAATCTCCTCCAGCGTACATTGTGGCACCCTAATATCAATCTCCTCCACCGTACATTGTGGCACCCTAATATCAATCTCCTCCACCGTACATTGTGGCACCCTAATATCAATCTCCTCCACCGTACATTGTGGCACCCTAATATCAATCTCCTCCACCGTACATTGTGGCACCCTTATATCAATCTCCTCCACCGTACATTGTGGCACCCTAATATCAATCTCCTCCACCGTACATTGTGGCACCCTATATACATATGTATTGTGACTCTAATGAATGGTAACGGTTGAAATGACGATTAGGATTTAAAAGATGACACTGTTTCAGTAGACAAACATACGGACAAAACATTAATAATTTGATCAAATATAAAAACGATGGTATTAAAAAAATAGGATCTGAAATGTAAATATGGATATCGAAGGGTCGTCAGATTGTAGTTATATTCAATATAGATGTAATCTGAATGACAGATAGATATAATAATAATGTTAGGCATATTTCTTGAATGTAAAATGCTGAATGCTGTCGGGTGAGACATATTTAGATATGATTATTTGACGGAGCTCGTGTACGCTAGGTTTTGGCTGTCAGTGTCGGGTGGGACATATTTAGATATGATTATTTGACGGAGCTCGTGTACGCTAGGTTTTGGCTGTCAGTGTCGGGTGGGACATATTTAGATATGATTATTTGACGGAGCTCCTGTACGCTAGGTTTGGGGTACCCTGTTATTGGTCTTTATGAGTAGGTTAAAAATAAAATTTTTTCATAAGTTTGAAAATATGTCATTTTTTGCCGTGACATATAAGGCAATGAAAGAATGAAAGAAATGTGATCTTTTCCCAACCGTACAACATCGAGCCTAATATCCTATAACACACAATGAAAAACCAGGAAAATTCTACGAAGAAACAAAAGTATGAAAAATGTTTCATTTTCAAACTTTTTTGTTGTAAAGAAAAAATATGACTATCTCAAACAATTTGGAAGGTGGAAATATAAAACATATCTTTTGAACTTTTACTTAGCTTGTCATGTAGAAGCAGAACGTTTTATAACCGACATGAGTTCGCAAGCTGTATAAACAAACCGATTTTACGTCACGTCATGATATCATGCCATGTTATGTATGGTTGACCTCTCAGTGACTGATGTAAAATCACACCCTTGTTCGTGCTCGGTAATATTATTTATATATTTGTTAGGAATTTCATACGAGCTTCATTCATTTAGCTGATGTTGTACACTTTTAAACTTGTCATCAATGAAACTTTATACAATGCCATCAGCACTTTTTCTCCAACGTATGTTTCAGCACTGTCGCCAGGTTATTTCCCCGTGTTAATCGATCTTCTGTGAACACCATGTCATCGTTTAATTAAACCTGAATATGAATTACAGTTTTTTCATACATAGCATTCAGACATAGTTATCTCTAATGTAATAATAAAATCTAAATCTAAAACTAAAACTTTCAAATACCTAGGCAAACGCTAATACTTGGAGTAGAAACACACGCCATGAGGAGATCCGGGCTGTACAATGCCTGACGGGATAGGCGTTGGTAAATTACATTTTCATCAATGGAGAAAAAGCAATGCAATCATGTTGGATAATCCAGAAAAGTTTTATTGTAAATAGACATGGTTGATAATGGTGCAATACACTGGATATTTAAGTAAAAAATAAATTCGATAAGTGTCGTACTAGCAGGTGACATTTGAATGCAAATACATTGCAGTACAGCTTAGCAATGAAAGTGTGTATCAATTGTATAAGAACGATGATAAAAATAGTATGCTTCGGAACTTCCCATGATTAAAAGGTTAAAGGAAATCGGTGATATTTAATTTTTACAGACAACAACTTGACATTCACTGGTACAATGTACACGTTGAACAGATTACTCTACGTCGCAAACGTTCTAACAGATAAACACTATAGTGATTTTCGCAGTACACTGTGTACCCTTCCACGAAAGGATGTCACAATGAGTTAGGGAATATTTATAACGATCGTGGTCGACAAGAACACAATTGTAACTGACATACAAATGCACATTAACGGAAATTTTAACATGTCATTATTACCACATTTTATCTTACAAGCTAAAGTCAGAAACGCTCATAAAAGTTTAGTTTTGGGGTTTGTCCAGAATAAACCTTATATAAGAAAATAACCTGTTCCCTTTGACAAAATCATTTCCATGCTGTTGCTTATGAAAATATGATACCTGATGAAATGTAATTTTAACCAATATCTCTACCTCATCTTTTTGACATTTAAAAGTCGAAGATGATCCTTATTGGAAAGTTTGCTCCTATAAATGTTTATATAGAGATGATATAGCTGAGACGAGTTATTATCTGAAACAAATGGGCATCGTACATGTCTAACGTTATATTTTAATTAATATCTATGACTATGTCAATATTCTATCACAATATTTGCTACCAAAATACGACAACAAAATCACGCGCAGGTATGTTTTGGATTTGTTTTAGCGATATACGCAGTAGTGTAGGTCACAATTATAAGCTTGTAGCGCTGTTTATATCTCTAAGAACAAAGAATGCTTATTTTAAAAGCAAAAAAATAAAAAAAAGAAATTTATAATCACGAGAAGGATTGAATTTCTTGTTGCCGAAATCTTGGTTGAGTTTAAAGCACAACTTTTATAAAAGACTAAAGGTTTATCAATAAGACCAGTCGCACCACTCTCAATACTTTGAGCCTGAACTATTCAAAAAATTTTCAGGGAAACAAATGAATTGTTAAATGATTTGATCATAATTCATTATATTCAATCATGTGACTAATTGTTGTAAATATGTTTACTTAGTTAACCCGGTTACAATACTGTTTAATGCTTAGAACTTGAAACAATTCAATCTTTTGAAACCAAAGAAACGTTAAAAAGTAATATCATTGATCGTTACATTCTTAATATATACAATATAAGTACCTCTAATTTATATATCTACATGTGGTTTTATCTTTATATGATATGGCGTTGTTCCTCAATGTATAGTTGAAATAAATCATAAAATCTTTCAAACCTAGCCTCAAGTTATAAAAAATTACAATTATATCTTGACATGAATATCTCTAAGAGGGAATACAAATGATATTCCGTTATTCTATTCATTTAAAAAATGAGAGCTGAAAATCAAAAGACCAGTCAGCTTACAATAGGATTAAGTATGGGTGACTACATATTACGAAACAAGAATTCTCAGACCAATGTTTACTGTCGTCTACAACCACTGCAGCATCACTTGTTGACAACATTTGTACCAATATAAGTATCAAGTCGGAAAACCGGATTAATATTTTTTCATTATTGCGTGTTTAACAAAAATATTCCTATCTTTCGAATCAAAATTTGGGTTCCTCATGGCGAGGAAAAACTATTGTACAACGGAAATAATTTTAAGTCTTCATAATTCTGACAATTAGCAATCATAAATACCAAGACCAGACTTCGGTGTCAATATTTAGAAAGCTTTCTCGGCCAAGGATTAGTTATGTATGACAATATTTATATAAAAATGTTTAAGGTTCAGTTCTAGGTGTCCAGATTTACCAACAAAATCGTCTCAATTCGCGAATTAGATTTGATTTCAATACATTATAATTCGAAAAAAGACTACATTCCTGTTCCGGTTCTTGGGTCTACAAGAAAGTCCGTTCCATTTTCATATTCCCAAACATATTGTAAATGTTATCACCAAAAATTATCAGAAATATTTCATGCCAACGCCAGTAATTGGTGACCATCTCTTTATAACAACAGAAAGTTACTTTAAGCCCGAGCTTGCATCGATACCTACTGTGGGTATGTCCCGGAGCATTTTAGGGTTAACAAAGCGGTGACTGTCTACATCTGATAACAGGGCCACAGTTAGACAGGGTAAAACACAGTGTTGTATCAGTTAATGGAAGTGGATAAAATCTGAAGACATATAAACTGTTCTCTGTATAAAATGTTTAGACAATTGTTCCCTTGATCAAGCTCCCGATGGTCCGCCGACAAAATATCACCTCTAGTGTGCACAGCTTGAAATGGTGAGAAATCCTTCGAGACTTCCAATTTCGGACAAAAACTAGCACTGCTTGCCTGTCAAGGTCTTCGATTCTTGTGTGAAGAAACATATCCGAACGAATGAGACGTAACTCAATGTTCATTTCAATGAATTAATGTTGACATTTCGACGCTAAAAGAATGAATAAAGTAAAGTAACAGCAAGCAAATTTCTGCAACCCTGTCAATACTCTGAATTGGTTTTGGCCAATAAGTTGGAGAAATGTATGGGAGTAAGCTTTCACGTCAATCTCTGCGTATGTGGTGTCTGACCGAGTGTTGGCCACTGGAGAGAAAACATCGGACTTGAGCCTCAAAATACTCAATAGAGGTACTCACCAGTTCGTATCGGCGAACAACAGGAGTAGAATTGCTGTCACCCTCCAAAACATTTCCATGACATCCTGCAAATCCACCTGACGCACCACCATCGTCTGTAACTGAGAGAAACGCTATATGTCGTCTGCTTCTGCTGCAAAACCATTTTACCGCGCACGCGCATTGTTTTCTTTTCTTCGACGCGAGAGACAAACGTGCGGTGTATGTAGAGCAGCGTGACGGGAATCAATCCGGAGTCATGTTTGTTGCCAGTATCGATTATTAGGCCAATGAATTTCTCATGTTGGCTATCATAAATAGTCATTGAAGATACACAGATTTCTACCAATGTACCAATGTGTTATAGTTTGTTAAATTGGTATGGATATAAGCGACGACAGGTGATTATGTTGACAAATTGTTGGCTAGTTCCAAGTTTTGTTTTCTGTTTTTTTTTGCCATATCAATATAGTGTCTGGCAGTATCAACAACTTGATGCCGAGGAAGCTATCATCTTATAAGCTTGTAATACCTTAATGTCCAGGAAACAAGATTGCATTATCAAGTTTGAACTTTTTTGCTTTCTGTAACGGGACTTGCCAACTTCTGTATGAAATCTGTCAAGTTAAAAACGAACTTTCAGAACAGTCATATATACATTTACCATATAATGTATATTGTTTCTCGATCATATTTTGAAAAGAAATATCTGTGCGTGTGAGTGTACTATTTTCTAATGTATTTTTCGATTTTTTATTTATTCCATGCAAAAATAAATAAAAATAAAATATTACACAATAATTCATCAAAATGTCGGTTATATATTGCCAATTTTTTTATACCAAACCACTTTGTAGGCGAATCAGAGATAGCTCATGTTTGTATGTCAATACAAAGAAAGGTTTCCGACATGCTATGTATCATTGCTGTCATTTGTCTGAGAACGAAATCTGAAATAGTCCTCGTTTTACGCTGATAAAGTCTCCGTTTTAATTGGTCTTTCTACGCATTGACTGTGTATTTTTAGCTCCCCTGGACACCGAGAGGACATACACGATAAAGCAAAGTGTAAATGGTGAAGTAAGATATTAACACTGGAAAACGGCTAAACTATAAAATGTTAGGAGGACTGTTCCTAGCTGTGTTGATAGCTTATGTTCTCAGGAAGTGTTACTCTCCTATTAGACGGGTTGAAACTGTTTTGTGTGATTCAGATGAATGTGTTCCATCGAGTTTCAGCATGTGTTACTTACATGTGTAATCTAGACACATCCTATTTTTAGTAATCGACTGCGTATATCTGTTCGAGAATTGATGACATTATTGAACGATAAAATGAAATCGATTAGAAATGAAGTAAACATCTTCTGACACTGTTTTGTTTTTACTCTAAGCTACATAGATATTTATGTAACATATCAAATACATGAGACATCATTGTGTCTCGATCGTATTTTCTAATTAGTGTATGTCATACAAGGACAATAGAAATGCACTTTCCGTCTGGATAACAGACGTTTATAGAAACTGTACCGTCCTTATATCTTATCATAGCGATATTCTTATTACACAGAACTGCATATAGACTACAAAACCATGATAGGGTCAAGTAGTCGCTGCCTTTTCTTAAACAACTATTTCAAACTGTGGTTATGAATTAGACAAGAACAATCCTGACAATGGTCCTTTATTAAAGATAGACCATTCCATCACATCGGTTCCATTGCATGGTTAGACATTACATAGAAACCCTAATGGATGTGTTCTGTGTCATCCTAACATCGGTCTATACCGGAATTTATAGTATAGATAAAGTCTACTATGTACAGTAGGGGAATCATAAAACAACACAAACTGTGTGTACAGATATTCATTTATTCTCTTGCCTCTGGTTTTAACAGTGAGAATTATGACTGGTCTGTTTCATCGCTGAGGTAATACCATATGACGTCCGCCAAGACATAGGAGAGAATACTCTCATAACTCTTTCGGATCCCATCAACAGACGCGCTAAGCTACCAAAGTGTCCCTGTGGCATGTCATCTCACGTCGACTAAACTGAAATAGAGTCTGGGTGTCGAATTTACATATGTACAGTAGGGAACAGAAACATTAGGAATGCCAGACATCAAATTTACATAATTTCTGTTTACAGGGGTTAAGTAGAAAGGTAAGGTTACGAAAACATGACATACCGTCTAAGGCTATCGGAATTAATTGTTTAGGCGAATGTTATTATACAAATACCTGTACAGCAGAATGTTAACAAGTTAATAAACACTCTTTATTAAAAAAGTTTAATGTTTTGGCGAAATATGTATGAATTCAAAATACTAATTTCTATCATGGCTTCAGAGTTGTCATTACCCTACTCTAGTCAGTGTCCAGATTACAGGAGGTTTAACATTAACAGATTTGTAACGCGACCCCTGTGAGATAGGTTTTATATCTTCTTGCGTTAAAGGTATGACACATTATATTCTGAACCCCATAAAGGTAACGTTCGTGAATGGTTACCAAACCTTTGAAGTAGAACGAGTTATATCAATATTCCCAGCGCACCATGGAAACCTTGACATGAAACATATCAACATCATTGACGAGCACCATGTGGGGTAATTCTGTCAAAGTGGTTTAATCAGTCAGTCCTATTGCTTTTAGTAACCCTTTCATCACCTCATAGTATTTCTAATGCTTGGCAGTTATTCAATTTCATCTTTGTAAGCTTCAGTTCAGCAGCTAAGAACCTAAGTGTGCGTATCATGAGTTGAGATATTTAGTACCCAGCTTACGGTTTGTGCTCAAGACATCTTATCAAAAGAGGGCGTAAAGCATATATTAACATTGTCTGTACATTTTATACTCGAATAGGCAAGTAAAGACTGGAAAATATATAATAATCAAGCTGCACTTTAATAATAATAAAAAATAATAATAATAAAAAAAAAAAACGAAAACGTTATACCAAAATCACAACGGAGTAAAATAAATGAAACTCTCAGTAAACAATTAGGACCCAGGTCTCCAATGGATAGCAGCAAAATGTCAAACATATATTTAATTTTGCCAGTGAGATATACATATAACTCTGATGCTTTGTTTTTAAGTCACTTGAGAAAAAGTCAACAATTTTGTGATTTTTCAGTAGTTAAGAATAATGCTTCTGCAGGCTTTCACCAATTAAAGGGTAGAATTCAGATGATCTAATAAAACCAACTTATAATAAAGCCCGAGACAACACTAAACTAGGAAACCTGAAAGGGTTGTTCACTTGAAATACAACATTCAATTCTATGGTAAACTTTCTCTGAAGTCAGCAAACAAAGCCAGCCAGGACCTCAAATCACCTTATCAGAAGTCAAACATATCCTCAGCTGAACGCCTTGAAAGTGGAGCTTTCAAGAGGATTCGTTTCAACGAAAGCGACAGCTATTTTCAGATCGCGTAGTAACGTTAAACTGTGTTTTTCATTTTCTGTTAGTGGCATTAATAAGTATCACTTTCTATGTGAAGATAAAAATAAATTATATCGAAAATTATATTTAGTTTTGTGTTTTTTATTTTTACATCGATGAAAAAACGGATTATATCTTGTCGCGCACTGCATAGTTATAATGAGAAAAAGTATCCGAGAAAAGTATAGTCAATATTTTACATTTATATCTGTTATAAATGGAATAAATACACACCGGGAAAATATATTTGCCATTACTGAAGACACTATTCAATATCTATATATAGCAACCCCTCCTCAATAAAAACATATAAAGGAAGAATTTGTTTGAAAATCTGATGTCTACTGAGTTTATATAAGAACCATATATCTAAGGTGTTTGTATGAGAACCATATGTCTAGTGTGTTTTTGTAAGAACCATATATCTAAGGTGTTTGTATGAGAACCATATGTCTAAGGTGTTTGTGTGAGAACAACATGTCTAGTGTGTTTGTGTGAGAACCATCTCTCAAAGGTGTTTATATAAGAACCATATGTCTAGTGTGTTTGTGCGAGAACCATGTCTCTAAGGTGTTTGTATGAGAACCATATGTCTAGTGTGTTTGTGTGAGAACCATATGTCTAAAGTGTTTGTATGAGAACCATATGTCTAGTGTGTTTGTGTGAGAACAACATGTCTAGTGTGTTTGTGTGAGATTCATGTCTAGTGTGTTTGTATGAGAACCATATGTCTAAGGTGTTTGTATGAGAACCATATGTCTAGTGTGTTTGTGTGAGAACAACATGTCTAGTGTGTTTGTGTGAGATTCATGTCTAGTGTGTTTGTATGAGAACCATATGTCTAAGGTGTTTGTGTGAGAACCATGTCTAAGGTGTTTGTATGAGAACCATATGTCTAAGGTGTTTGTGTGAGAACCATATCTCTGAGGTGTTTGTATGAGAACCATATGTTTAAGGTGTTTGTATGAGAACCAGATATCTAAGGTGTCTGTATGACAACCATATATCTAAAGTGTTTGTATGAGAACCATATGTCCAGTGTGTTTGTATGAGAACCATATGTCTAAGGTGTTTGTATGAGAACCAGATATCTAACGACTTTGAGTGAGAAATTGATGTCTAAAGTGATTCTGTGGGTACCTAGTGTACAGTGTGATTGCTTGAGAACTAAATCTATAGCGTGTTTATAGGAAAATATCTAATATGTTTGTATGATAACCCGGTGTCTAGTATGTTTGAGCGAGAACTTAATGTCTAGAGTGATTGTGTAGACAATTGATGCATAGAGTAACTGTGTGAGAACCTGGTGTTTAGTTTTTTTGTTAAAAAAACCTGTCTGATAAGTTTGAGAACTTGATGTGTTGTGAAAATGTGAGAGCCTGGGTCGAACGCAGAAAGGCTAAAAGTCGGTAATATTGGACGAAGAACCAAGTAAATAAATATATAAGATATATGATGCCTATTCTGTGAACCAGATGTGTAAATGCTAATGATTATGTTTGTCTTGACACTTTCTCTGTTTTGCCTTCATTTGAAAGTTTGTCCATGTGGCCTTTTTACAAGAGACTGCCGTGCGTTCTGCTCTCAAAGGAAAGTTGATTGAATATTTAATGCAAAGCTGTAACGTGAGGTGATTCTTTGGATCGTGGTATATGCTG